GCTTTGAACGTTTGCACTTTCGATGGTTGTATAATTACTGAGTATTAAATAAAGATCCTTTATCTTTTGTTTGAGTCTTATGTTCTCTTTCTTTAATATGTCATCGTTTATCTTCAAGTCACCTAATTCCTTCACAACATCACTGAGTCTTTTCTCAAGAGCCTGGCTAAGGTTTTTGCTATCAAGTGCGTCTATGACCAAGGTCTGGATTTTTTGTATCATAGAGAATCGCGCCAAAGTTTCTTGATTTAATATATCCCGTATAATTTTTAATTGTTTGCCAGAGGTCGTACTTGGCAGCAAGGACGATTTTTCCCCAATACTGTCCTCCTTTCCAAATGTCTCATTAATACAGAGAAGTAAATATAACACAAACGTACCCCTCATTGCTCTCCTCTCTTCTACGGAATATTAAAATGAATGAAACGTATCTGTTGAAGTCAAGAATTTATATACAGAATTCAATGAAGGTATCTTTAACACAACAAGCACAAGTAGTCTTACGAGCTTTTTCCCTTTTATTACATATATTAGTAAGGGAAGATTTTTCAAACTTTATCTACTTCTGTAAATTAATATAATAAGGTTAACATAAAACGGCTCGCATCCTTCTCGTTCAAGATAATTTTAATTCTGTTTATCTTCTTCAATGTCAAGATGAATTCGTTTAACTTCGATGTTATTTTTCATCAGAATTGAAGAAATTTAGTTTTTGAATGTTCTTATCATTTTTAAGTTGCAAAATACGTATATTTTTGAAAAACGTTATTGCTGGTGAGAGCTTACACCATATCAACATCGATTCAAGGATATAATTATTTAACGTTTAGGAAACTTCAAGACATTCTTCAAGACATTCTGCACGTTTTATTTTACAACAGATTTTTAATACACATACATACTTTTTCAAAAAATCCAATAATCGAGCGCTAAAAAATTAAAGCACTGGCGGTATGTATGAAATAAAGGAATATTGAAAAAAGGAAAACTTAGGTTGATAGTAAAATGACTTTTAAAAGGCAGCAATATATAAGTATTTTATTCGTATTGAGGGTTTTTCTATGCACGTATGCTCACTCCTTTATGGCATCTGATCACACCACTGATATTTTCGTTAGCTTTACCCTGGCGCTATTCAAATTAAACGATTGTGCTTTCTGTTTTTTTAGTTCGTAAGATTTTCATTTCTTATTAGAATCATCAGTTATATCCCATCTCACAATTAAAAACAAGCATAAATGTATATGCAGGTATCTTTACGAATCATTTTTTTTCGGGTGAAAGTGTTTGAAGTTCAACTGTGAACCTAAAAAAAATTACCTCTTATATAACTCTTAGAAAAAAAGAGAGAAATTATTATTTTTCCACAAAATATGAATGCTCTCTCTTTCTCCCCGCCTCTTTCTAATCTATCCATCTACCAATCTAAAATATTCATCTTTCTAACCATTGTGAATAGACATTAAACAAAGGCAGAATTGTTTATTTCATAGCAAGAAAAATAATCCTTTGACAGATTACTCTCGCAAAAGAAATTATCTCAATTTTTTCAAAAACTCTTATAAACGAATGTTATTTCAGATTACTTATATATATATATATATATATATATATATATATATATATATATATATATATATATATATATATATATATATATATTACTTGATTTTATACATACGTGAATACATATATTGGGGAAGAAAAGATAAAGAGTTGTTCTTAGGATTCTTCTCAATGTGTCCGTCATCATGTCTAAAAAGGACTACCTGTTTAGGAAGACTTTTAATAATGCATTTTTATATCTAATTGGAATATACGAGGGTTGTTCTAAAAGTTCGTGGTCTGATGCTATAAAATTAACACCGTGAAGTCTATGCTAACAAAACTTTTTAGGAACATGAAACAACTATATTTTTAAAAAATGGTGATTTTTTTTCTCAGTCACGCTTAAGTAGATAAACGGAATCTTCGAAGTTGCGCAGCCTGGACATACCATTGCTGTCAAAATTATCAACAATTTATTAAAAAATAAAATTTACAAACAGATGGACGTATAATGTATTATATAAATAATAACGATAATGCTTATTGAACGTTGAAAATTTCATTGATGTATCTTAAGCGGTTTTAATCATATATACATGACACTAGTCAACAAATTTTCCAAACAACCCTCGTATAATATTTGAAAAAAAATTGAAACATTCATTTGTTCATTTGTTTAATTAAGACAATATTTGAAAAGCTTATTCTGCAGTGATAACAGTAGATAATTTTCTACAGTAAAAATTGATTGAGATTTGGTATCAGTTGGAATATATGTACAGTTTAGCATGTTTAATATGCTACTTATGCTATGAATTTTGATGATTCGCATTTGTCCTTTTGCGTATAGAACACACCTCAATAGAAAACGTATTGATAAGGGTAGATGGTAAAGTTTTTAAAGACTCAGTTCACAAACAAAGGGACGTTTTACGTCACAGGGTCTATCGTTCCATTTCAATCCTGTCCTATACTTCTCAACACAATGTTCTACCTTCCCTGCATTGTTAGGTTCGTTCTTGTGCCAATTCGTGTATGTTGGTTTACTTCCAGTCGAGATAAAGACAAATCTGCCTTCACTGAGTATATCTGTCAATCCAATCCAGGCATATTGAAAACCTGAAAAAGAAATTTTAGAACAATCACCATGATCACTGAAATATTTTTTTTATCTACCTGATAAAAAAAATCATTTTTTAGCAAAATGCACCTCGTATCGTAAGCTGCAGATTAATCCAATTTTCTACACGTGAAGATTTAATTTCAAGGAGGTGAGCACCAGCTGCAGCTCTGTTACAATAATCCTGTAAAAATAGATAAAAAGATTTAAACAAATTGAAACCCAAAAACAAAATAAATAAAACAATGAAATATTTCAGTTACATTAAAAAGTTATTGGAAATTCAATATTCTATCAAGTGCATATTTCCTCTCTGTGGATCCACTTACCACCGCATCTTTAAAATAGTATTCCGTCCTTAAGAAAAGGTAGCAGTTTTCCTCAAACTGGACCCAATCCTTTTCACAATACGTGGCACGGAAATCCTTCGCTGTAAAACATGTAAATATAAATAACATTCAGTAATTTAGTCAAAGATAAATTCTTCAAATAGTGGCAGTAAGTAATTGAGGAACGAGAAAGAAAAAAAAGTTAATGCATTACAAAACAAAACATAACTCTTTAAAATTATCCTGAGTTTGGACTCTTATCATTTAAGATCGCAATTCACTTTATCAAACTTTAAGCAGAATTATTTTTTTATAAACAGAATAACGTAAAGAAGACTCTCGCACAATACCAATAATAAACTAGAGGTACTGTGGAGAATGTCCTCACTAAATAATACCCCCACCTCCCATAATGTCCCTATGTTGTTATATATTGTTTTACGGTAATATGTTTAGAGGAATAACTCGTCGTATCAAATGTTATTCAGCAGGCACGCAACGTTGTTTCAACGTTGAAAGGAGGTGGAATATAGGTTGCAACGTTAAGCAACTATATTTAAACGTTGAGGTTTCAACGTTGAATCCTCAACCTTTTTTAACGATAAAACAACGTTGAAGCTGCAAAATATATTCAGCGTTGAATGTTCGTCGATATTTCAACGTTTAAACAACGTTGAAGCTTCAACATATTCTTAACTTATGATGATCGTTTATATTTCAACGTTGAAACAACGTTTAAGCTGCAACATATTTTCAACGTTGAATGCTCGTCGATATTCAACGTTGAAACAACGTCGAAGCTGCAACATATTTTTAACGTTTGATGTTTGTTGATAATTTAACTTTGAAACAACGTTAAAGATTCAACATGTTTTCGATGTTGAGTATTTTCTGATATTGTAGATTTGAAACAAGGTTTTAAAAAATGCAAAGTTGGTTGTTTGTTTGTTTCAACGTTAATACAACGTGGAAGATGCAACATATTTTCAACTTTAGGAAAGTTAGGAAATTTAACGTTGAAACAACGGGTAATGAGTATTGAGCACTTTAGTGTTTACGGTCAAAATATAAAGGGGTGTTGCAACCACTATTGAAATAACGACCACTATTGAAATAATTATATCAATAGTGGTTGAGAGTGCATATCAATAGCAAACATAGTTCATAACCACTATTGAAATACAACCACTGTTGAAATAATTATATCAATAGTGGTTGAGAGTGCATATCAATAGCAAACATTATTCATAACCACTATTGAAATACAACCACTATTGAAATAATTATATCAATAGTGGTTGAGAGTGCATATCAATAGCAAACATAGTTCATAACCACTATTGAAATACAACCACTATTGAAATAATTACTTCAATAGTGGGTGAGAAAGCATTTCAATATGATAACCATAGGTTTCAACCACTATTGAAATACGAGCACTATTGAAATAATTATCTAATAGTGGGGAAGGGTGCTTTTCAATATGATTACCATAGGTTTCAACCACTATTAAAATACGACAAGTATTGAAAGAAAAAAATTCACCGCGTAATTTTTTATCCAAATTTTACAAAAATTGGATTATGGGTGAAAAGCATATAGATTAATAATTAAAGTGTATGAATAAATAAGGAAGGTTTATAATTTAATTATATTCTTGACATATATTTTTTGCATCATTTTCAATGAAATCAGACCAAAAGATATATACCAATCCCGGCATCCATATTTTGTTTGCATCATCTGTCCTTAAATGAAGATATAGATAGTTATTGAAATTATAATTTCAAAAGTGATTTAAATAATTATTTTGATAGTTGCTGATAAAATTACAAAACTAAAATCATAATTTAATCTATATTGAAATCTTTATTTCAAAAGTGATTATTATTTCAATAGTGGTTGAAACCTATGTTAATTATCAAAATAAATCAGAACCACTATTGAAATACCGGTAATTTTTTCAACAGTAGTCGTATTTCAATAGTGGTAATTACCTATGTGTCTTATTAAAATACACTCTCAACCACTATTGATATAATTATTTCAATAGTGGTTATATTTCGATAGTGGATACTAACTATGTTTGCTATTGAAATGCACTCTCAATCACTATTGATATAATTATTTCAATAGTGGTCGTAATTCAATAGTGGTAATGAATTATGTTTGTTATTGAAATGTACTCTCAACCACTATTGATATAATTATTTCAATAGTGGTCGTATTTCAATAGTGGTTATGAATTATGTTTGCTATTGATATCCACTCTCAACCACTATTGATATAATTATTTTAATAGTGGTTGTGTTTCAATAGTGGTTATGAACTATGTTTGCTATTGATATGCACTCTCAACCACTATTGATATAATTATTTCAATAGTGGTCGTTATTTCAATAGTGGTTGCAACAAAGGGGTCTTCAACTCTTAATCCATGCGATTTTTTCGCAATATACACACAATTAATTGCGTTGTTAGTAAATATTATATATATAATTATTCATAATTAATGAAATTCCAACAGCTAGAACCATTATGATTTTATATGAAGTATGACATCTACATTTAACAATTCATTATAATTATGTTTCAAAAAATGTTATTTTTAAAAAGATAAGTTGTGAAAGCAGTTTTTTCCGAATTCTAATGTTCTTAAAATAGACTCATATAGATCCGTGCCGTATACATGTACTCTTGTGCAGAACAAACGTATTCAGAGCGAATCTAAGAAGTCTTAATTTATAAGATTGTGCTTTTGTTGTGTGTATTAATTCTATAATCTTTCTTTTCACAAAATATTTAAAAAATCAAATAAAAACATAACAATTTTAATTAACCCCGGTAAAGTACCATTTCTTAAGATCCATTCCCCAAAAACCTTCGAGATATCAGATAAGGAGTGTTTTGAACAATAAAATTGTCCCCTTATTATTATGATAAATGCTAAGTTGTTTCAAGCTCCATGTTCACATGTCATCTTCGCTAGCCAAGGATTTCTGATACACTACTCTCCTCATAATCAGGAGAGTATCGTATTAGATGTGTTAGTGCCCCCCTTTACATCTACTTATTAAAGACTAGAATTAAAAAAAAGGAGAGATATAATAATATTGTTAAAATTGTCACTCTTTTATTTTCAAGACCCATTTCCTTTTTATTTTATCAGAAGTACCTGCTTGGATATGTGACGTCTTAGGAAAGAATATATTGACAATTTCCATGTTTTGCTATGTGAAAGTTTCATTAAATTTCACTCAGTAGTATAAGAGGCGTTGCGGATAAGAGATTGGTACCCCAAAGCGTAACAGACGAACTGACGGAAGCACGGACGGACATAATGACTACTATATACCCTCCTACTTTTCAAGCGGGGGGGGGGGGGGGTAAATGATTGCCTTTTACAATAAGTTACATGTAAGATCTACGAAACAATAAATTTGAACGTAAAGATGAAATAACAAGTAAACAGCTTATTTGTCAAAGTAAGAAGACAACAGTTACTAACTTACCTTTAACATCTGTTGCCTTTTGATGGTAATTTCCCATTGTTTTTTAAAAAGATTCCAAAAGAGTTCGCAAACCGTTTTCCATCGACAAAAGACGCTCGATTAAATGGGTAGATTTTCTTCCATTCATTATACTTTGATTTCGAAAAGCAAAGTTCTCTTGCAGCATTTTGTCATATTTCTCATTTAGACCGGTTGTTTCGTTTTTAAGAGAATTCAGATCTCTCTTCATCAAAAATACTAACTGTTTATTTATATCCAAATTCTGTAATGATAGCGTTTGAATTTGATTTTCCACAAATAAAGTTTTCCTCTTCAGATATAAAATTTCCGAATCATTAAGACTCTGAACGTCTGAACCTTCGATGGTTGTTTAATTATTGAGTATCAAATAAAGATCCTTTATTTCATCTTTGAGCTTTGTATTCTCTTTATATAATATGTCGTCATTCATTTTCAAGTCACCTAATTCCTTCAAGACATCATTAAGCCTTTCCTCAAGGGTCTGGCTAAAGTTTTTGCTATCAATTGCATCCATCACCAAGGTTTTAATTTTCCGTATCATTGAGAATCGCGCTAAATTTTCTTGATTCATTATATCCCGTATAATTTTTAATTGCTTCCCAGAGGTCGTGCTTGGCAAAAGGGTCGTTTTCTTCGTCTCGTCATTTTCAGGAAAAGTCGCATGTCCAAAACTCTCATAAATACATAAAGTAGGTATATCAAAAGCATAGCTCTCATTTTTCTAAAACCACTTTAATCATTCAGGGATTAAGAACATTGAAAGCATCTGCTAAAATTCAGAATTGAAATGCTGTGTTTCGATATCTCTTTTATATACCATGCATTCATCTGGGATTCTTAATTGCTAAGCGTAAATGGTGCGCAGGGAAAAAGGTTGTTTACTCATTTAGTTTCAATTAATGCATTCAAACGTGAAATCATGCCATGTAGATCTCGTATCTGGCCTCCATCTCAAGAAAAATTAAACAAGTATTTAGTACATGTAACCGTTCTTTTCATGATCACTTTTATAGTATTTTTCATTCAAAAAAATACAACACACGTACTGCAATCTCCTTAATATTTGTAGGTAGTAAAATATACTTTTCAAAGATGTCATCGCAGTTGACGGCGTACTCCAAATCAACACTAATTCAAGCATATAATTATTTACGGTTTGGGAAACTTTAAGACTTTTTGCACCTTTCATTTTACAACAGATTTTTAATATACACACATACATATTTAAAAATCAAAATCCAAGAATAGATCTGGAGCGTTTAAAAATTAAAGCACTAGCGGTATGTATGAAATAAGGAATATTGAAAAAAAGGAAAATTAAGGATGATAGCAACAAATTTTTTTTTATTTTATTCGTATTGAGAGTTTTTCTATGCACGTTTGCTCACTCCTCCATGGCACCTGATCACACCTCTGATATTTGGAGATCCGGGTTTGCTGTGCTCTCTTTTGTATTGTTTCATGGATTTTTGATCTTATATACTGTTTTTTTCCCAAATGTTCATCCTTATGTACACGTAATCTAAATTGCTTGTTCAATTATCTGACGAAGGAATATTACGTATACCTGATCAACACCTTAAGCTCGCAATAGGTGTGGCTGCTCAGTAGGGGATGCTTACTCCTCCAAAACACCTGATTCTATGTATCCTGTTTGAAGGTGTCCCTGTTTTTGCTCTACCCTTGGCTCTTTTTGATGGATGGTTTACGATATTAATCGCTGTGCGTTATCTTCACCCTGACGTCATTCAAATCAGATGATTGCGTTTTCATCAGTATCATCAGTTATATCCCATCTCATAATTAAAAACTTGCATAAATGTATATGCAGGTATCTTTACGAATCATTTTTTCGGGTGAAAGTGCTTGAAGTTCAAGTGTGAGCCTATAAAAAATTGACGTTTTATATAACTCTTAGAAAAAAAGAGAGAAATTATGATTTTTCCACACAATAATAATTCTCTCTCTTTCTCCCCGCCTCTTTCTAATCTATCCATCTACCAATCTAAAATATTCATCTTTCTAACTATTGTGAATAGACATTAAACAAAGGCAAATTTGTTTATTTCATAGCAAGAAAAATAATCCTTTGACAGATTACTCTCGCGAAAGAAACTGTTACCGCAATCCTCTATATTTTCTCAAAAACTCTTATAAACGAATGTTATTTCAGATTACTTCAATATATATAACTTAATTAATTTCATACATACGTGAATACATATATTTGGGAAGAAAGGATAAAGAGTTGTGCTAAGGATTCTTTTAAATGTGCCCGTCATCATATCCAAAAAGGACTACTTGTTTAGGAAGACTTATAACGCTGAACACGATTCGTAAAAGGAATCTGTCCGACATTTTTGTTCCCGAGTCTCGCTACTCTGCAGACTCCTACAAATAGGGCAGAACTTAGTCACTGTTCAGTGTAATCAGTCGACACCGGTGTAGACAAACGTATGCTAAACAGAACTCGGTAGCAAGAATAATAGCGAAATACTTCGTCTCATGCAGGAAAATAAGATACAAAATAAATTTACAATTATAGTTGTAAGTCAGTGCTGTATACAAACAACACAGATAAACGTAACTGCAATGAAATATAAAGAAAGGTAATGCAAGATAACCATGCAGCACGAACACGCCATTCCACGCCGATACCCGTGACAATAGAGCAGTCAGGTGTAATGAATGCGACGAAAATACCCTATTGTTGATGTATGGGAGATAATGCTATCGAAAATGGCGTATGCCTATTTACGAGTCGTGTTCAGCTTTAATAATGCGTTTTTATATTTAATTGGAATATACGAGGGTTGTTCTAAAAGTTTGTGGACTGATGCTATAAAATTAATACTATGAAGTCTATGCTAACAAAATTTTTAAAGGTACTTGGATACAGATTTGAAGTTATTATTTTTTCTATAATATTACGACTTATATATTTTAATAGCATTTCACACACAAATTAATTAAAAATCTTATTTCATTTAAAAGATATTGAAATTTCAAATTTTTCGGCGGGTTTGATTGATATATCCTTGCACTCTTACAAATTTAATTTTATTCTTAATCCTTAGGAAAAGTGGCAATCTCGTTTTGTATAACTAAAAAATATTAATACTATATTCCAGAAAATTCAGAGTAAACATGTTTGAAAGCAAAACAAACACACAATACCGGTATATTGTCAGTCCGTGCAGTTGTGGTAAGCAGACTGTGACGATTGAACGCACCCGGTGTATTCTAAATATAAACAATAACAGAACTCGAGCCCTGTTTACAAAAACTGTGTACATAACACGAGTGTGCTCGATTTGCTAAACTCTGTACGCATTTCTTAGTTCGGAATGACGATACGTGTGAAGGTGTTTTGCTTTCTAACATGTCTACTCTGAATAAAATTATTTTTCTTGATAAAAGTTTTAATATTTCTCATTAATACACATCAAAATTGCCACTCTTCCTAAGGATTAAGAATAAGGTTAAAATTTGTGAAAGTGCAAGGATGTGTCAATCAAACCCGCCAAAAAATTTGAAGTTTTAATAATTTTTAAAAGAAATAAGTTTTTTAATTTTTAATCAATTTTTGTGTGAAATGCTATTAAAATATATAATTCGTAATATTATACAGAAAAAAATGAGAAAATATTAAATTCAAATCTGTGTCCAAGTACCTTTAAGGAACATCAATCAACTATATTTTTTAAAAATGTTGTAATTTTTTTTCTCAGTCACACTTAAAGTAGATAAACGCAATCTTCGAAGTTGCGCAGCCTGGACATACAATTGCTGTCAAAATTATCAACAATTTATTAAAAAATAAAATTTACAAACAGATGAACGTATAATGTATTATATAAATAATAACGATAATGCTTATTGAACGTTGAAAATTTCATTGATGTATCTTAAGCGGTTTTAATTATATATATATATGACACTCGTCCACAAATTTTCCAAACAACCTTCGTATAGTATTTGAAAAAAAATGAAACATTCATCCTTTCTTTTGTTTAATTAAGACAATATTTGAAAAGCTTATTCTGCAATGATAAAAGTGGATAATTTTCTACAGTAATATTGATTGTGATTTGGTATCGGTTAGAATATATGTACAGTTTAATATGCTACTTATGCTATGAGTTTCGATGCTTCCCATTCGTCCTTTTGCGTATACATTTGTAGAACACACCTCACTAGAAAACGTTGATAAGGTAGAAGGTAATCTTTTTAAAGACCCAGCTCACAAACAAAGGGACGTTTTACGTCACAGGGTCTATCGTTCCATTTCAATCCTGTCCTATACTTCTCAACACAGTGTTCTACCTTCCCTACATTGTTAAGTTCGTTTTCGTGCCAATTCGTGTATGATGGTTTACTTCCAGTTGAGATAAAGACAAAGCTGCCTTCACTGAGTATATCTGTCAATCCAATCCAGGCATTTTGAAAACCTGCAAAAGAAATTTTAGAAGAATCACCATGATCACTGAAATATTTTTTTTTTCATCTACCTGATAAAAAAGTTCATTTTTAGCAAAATGTACCTCGTATCTTGAGCTGCAGATTAATCCAGTTTTCTACACGTGAAGATTTAATTTCAATGAGGTGAGCACCAGCTGCGGCTCTGTTACAATAATCCTGTAAAAATAGATAAAAAGATTTAAACAAATTGAAACCCCAAAAAACAAAATAAATAACAATGAAATATTTCAGTAACATTAAAAAGTTATTGGAAATTCAATATTCTATAAAGTGCATATTTCCTCTCTGTGGATCCACTTACCACAGCATCTTTAAAATAGTATTCCGTCCTTAAGAAAAGGTAGCAGTTTTCCTCAAACTGGACCCAACCCTTTTCACAATTTGTGGCACGGAAATCCTTCGCTGTAAAACATAAATAACATTCAGTAATTTAGTCAAAGATAAATTCTTCAAATAGTGGCAGTAAGTAATTGAGGAAGGAGAAAGAAAAAAAAGTTAATGCATTACAAAACAAAACATTTTACTTAAAATTATCCCGAGTTTATCTTATCATAAAAATCGCAATTCACTTCATTAAACTTAAAGCAGAATTATATTTTTTTAAAACAGAAATACGTAAAGCAGACTTTCGCACAATACCAATATTAAATGATTGCCCTCTATAACAGAAGTTACATGTAAGTTATTTACGAAATAATAAATTTGAACGTAAAGATGAAATAACAAGTGAATGGCTTATTTGTCAAAGTAAGAAGACAACAGTTACTAACCTACCTTTAACATCTGTTGCCTTTTGATGATAATTTTCCATTGTTTTATTAAAAGACTCCACAAGAGTCCGCAAACCATTTTCCATCGACAAAAGACGCTCGATTAAACGGGCGGATTTTCTTCCATTCATCATACTTTGATTTTGAAAAGCATAGTTCTCTTGCAGCATTTTGTCATATTTCTCATTTAGACCTATTGTTTCATTCTTAAGAGAGTTCAGATCTCTTTTCATCAAATATACTAACTGTTTATTTATATCCAAATTCTGTAACGATAATGTTTGAATTTGATTTTCCACAAATGAAGTTTTCCTCATGAGATATAAAATTTCCGAATCATTAAGGCTTTGTACGTTTGCTACTTCGACCCTTGTATAATTATTGAGTATCAAATAAAGATCCTTTATTTCTTCTTTGAGCTTTGTGTTCTCTTCCTGTAATATGTCGTCATTTATTTTCAAATCACCTAATTCCTTTACAACTTCGCTAAGCCTTTTCTCAAGGGCCTGACTAAAGTTTTTGCTATCAATTGCATCCATCACCAAGGTCTCAATTTTCTGTATCATTGAGAATCGCGATAAACTTTCTTGATTTAAGATATCCCGTATAATTTTGAATTGTTTGCTGGAGGTTGTACTCGGTAACACGGCTGTCTTGTCATTTTCAGGTAATGTCTTTTGTCCAAAAGTCTCATAAATACACAAAAGTAGGTTTATCAAAAAAACACCCCTCATTTTTCTTAAACTGCTTTAATCATTCAGGGATTAAGAACATTCTAAAACATTAAAGCATCTGCTAAAATTCAGAATTTATATGTTGCGTTTGGAGATCTCTGGGATACCATGACATGCATCTGTAATCAGGAATGGTTCATTGCTTAGAGGAAAACGTGCACAGGGAAAAAAGGTTATGTAATCAATCATTTCAATAAATGCATTCAAACGTGAAAGCATATGTGTATCTCGTATCCTCCCTCTCAAAAAAAGCAGAACAAGTATGTGAATGGTATTTTCTTTTGATGATCAGTTTTATAGTTTTTTCTCATTCTGAAAAAAAAAAACAAGAAGCCCATGGGCCACATCGCTCACCTGAGTAACTTGGGTGATGCAGTTTACCAGATTCCCTCTCTTGCTATACCTATCATGTCCCACTACACCCTTCCCTTTTATGATTTTAAAACTTTAAAATCAATACTACCCAAGGATGCTTCCACATAAGTTTCAGCTTTCCTGGCTCAGTGGTGCTTGAGAAGATTTGTGCTATATATTTATATTAATTTATGTAAACTTCGATTCCCTATAGTGGCCCCGCCCTACTCCCGGGGGTCATGATTTTAACAATTTAACATAGATCTACACTACCCAAGGATGCTTCCACATAAGTTTCAGCTTTCCTGGCCTAGTGGTTCTTGAGAAGAAGATTTTTAAAGATTGGTTCTATATATTTCTATGTAAAACTTGGATTCCCTAATGTGGCCCGGCCCTACCCCCCGGGGTAATGATTTTAACAATACAATATCTACACTACCCAAGGATGCTTACACATAAGTTTCAGCTTTCCAGACCCAGTGATTCTCGTGAAGAAGATTTTGAAAGATTTGTTCTATATATTTCTATGTAAAACTTGGATTCCCTATTGTGGCCCCGCCCTACCCCCGGGGGTCATGATTTTAACAATTTAATATATCTACACTACCCAAGGATGCTTCCATATAAGTTTCAGCTTTCCAGACCCAGTGGTTCTTTAGGAGAAGATTTTTAAAGATTTGTTCTATATATTTCTATGTAAAACTTGGATTTCCTATTGTGGCCCCGCCCTGCCCCCGAGGGTCATGATTTTAACAATATACATGTAATATCTACACTACCCAAGGATGCTTCCATATAAGTTTCAGCTTTCCTGGCCCAGTGGTTCTTGAGAAGAAGATTTTTAAGTATTTGTTCTATATATTTCTATGTAAAACTTGGATTCCCTATTGTAGCCCCGCCCTACTCCCGGGGGTCATGATTTTAACAATTTTTATCTACACTACCTAAGGATGCCTCCACATAAGTTTCAGCTTTCCAGACCCTATGGTTCTTGAGAAGATTTTTAAAGATGTGTTCTGGTCCAGCCCTATCCCCGGGGTCAAGTTTTTTTTCAATTTAATATCTACACTACCCGAGGATGCTTCCACATAAGTTTCAGCTTTCCTGGCCAAGTGGTTCTTGAGAAGAATTTTTTGTGACCACATCCTATTTTTGTCTTTTCTTGATTATCTCCCCTTGTAAGGGGACTTGGCCCTTTATTTTAACAATTTAAACTCTCCTTCTTCCAAGGATGCTTTGTACAAAGTTTGGTTAAAATTGGCCCATTGGTTCTTGAGAAGAAGTCGAAAATGTGAAAAGTTTACAGATGAACGGACGGACAGACATACAGAAGGACGACGGACAAAATCAGAAAAGCTCACTTGAGCCTTCCGCTCAGGTGAGATAAAAATACAACACACGTTCTGCAATCTTTTTATCAGTTGTAGCTAGGTTGCAAAAGATATTTTTCAAAGATGCTATCGCTGATAAAGTCGTGTTTCATATCAACATTAATTCAAGGATATATCCAATGTTTCGTAAACTTGAGTCATTCTGCGTGAACTACATCATTCGGCATCGTTTCAAAACACTTTTCAAAAGTTCCAATAGCTCTTTTTTTGTATTAGACGTATTTATCAATTTAAGGAAAAATGAAAATACTGGATAAAAAGCATGAAAATTAATCATTCAATAACCTGTTTTAAATATCTCAGACAAACAAAAAAATCTTATTGTAAATAAAACTTTATTTTTTTTTGGTTTTGTGTTGCATATATATAACAAATAATAATCAGCGACATTCAATGCTTGAAAAATAACAAATGTAAAAATCTAAACAGCATCTTACACAAGCTGGAAATGATATGCAAAGGAAAATAAGGAAGGTAATCATATCTTGGAGATTTAAATAATAAAAAAAATGAAAAATTCTTAAAGCTTAAGGTCTGAAGACTGCATAAACAGGATAAAGTTGTGCTCTGTAAAGAAATGAAGTTGCAGTACAAATACCATACAAACCGTTCCCACCTCAACTCAACCCCACCCCACTTTAATTGACCTATGATGTGACCCTCCATGGGATGTTGCTAGATGTTAGTGTAGTGAGTATGCGAGCAGATCTTATTTCTAATTTTAATTAGATTGCACCCCACCTAACACCGCCTCAACCTACCAACTCTGAAAAACGTTATATGTTCCATACAATTTACAAGATGACAATAATGTTTGGCATCATCATAACAAATGTTTCATCATTTTCACTGGATAAGTATCTATGTTGGACTTCATAAAATTGAATGCACTTCCTTAAAGCCAACTTACTTTCACATTTAATTTTGTTTACTATTTGAAAAATAGTATTTGAGTGTCGGCTACTATTGCAACGCCATAATAGCCAAGGGTATTTCAGCTTTTGAAAATTCTTCTGTCATTGTTATTTGTAAGATATTCACCCAAATCTCTCATTATAAAAAAAAGCAAACAAGAGAGAAGGAGATAGATTTGTATGTAAAGCAACTTTTGTAAATATAATAAAGCTCTCTTTTTCAGCGCAAATATAAAGAAACTACCAAAAACCTACAGATAAAGTACATTATAAGATATGACTATAAGACTCAAAATTATGAAAAATAAATAATATATTTTCTAGTGAACACATTGCTTTATAATTAAAATGCATGAGATAGAAAAAAAAACAAGTTAAAAAAAATGAACATTTTTATAATTACATAGGGTGTACAATTTAACTTCAGTATCTCAAACTACGTAATTTTCGAATACTATTGATGATATACAAGAATTTGAATGTTAAAATTCTATTTTTTTCGTGTTGGTTTTTAACTCAATTTCTACAATTTTCCCTACTATGTATAGAGTTTGACTGTACATATTCCATGAGCCTATATGAGAACAGATACCTGAACTTTTGATAAACAAAGATTTTGTTTTGAAATGAAAATTAAAGTTAAAGCCTTGACGAAAATAAGATATCAGTAATAGCTGGAATTATTGCCGTTTGGATATTCACACACACATATTCAAATAATACTGTACATATATTCTCTTTATCAACATGAAGTTTAAATGCAAGAAAGATACGTTGTACATAAAAAAAACAATTTAATTCTATCAGCCATTTCCCTTTAACACAACAAACTGAATGAAACCGCATCAAGGATCAAATATTATTGTTTTCAAAATAGAACTGATAAAGCTGAAATTTAAAGTATCTTAGAAATTATCTTGATATAGAAATTATATTTTTTTTATTCATTCAAGCAACAAAAGAGGTAAGAAAAATGATATGAATAATTCATCTTAATATCTATAAAGGTGCCAAAATTGCTATCTTGATTTTGATACATTTTAAAATAAGGCAGGAAATGACATCACAAATTATTCAGTAAAAATTAGACAGGTGACCAGAAGCAAATGAATGTGGTCATTCAACTAATGAGCCTTTAAAACTCCAATATAAGGGAATTATTACATTTTTAACAAGATCACATTGTACACTGTACATTGATTAATAATAAACAAAAGGCATATTCAGTTGATAAAAACAATGATACATGTATCATGTAGAACTAGAACTGTCCAATAGGGACAAATACCCCCGCTGGGTTTTTCAGAGTAGGTGCCAATTCAGAAATATTTTATGGATTTAGAAAGTGGTATTCACTATTGTCTAATAAAGTGCCTTGCCACAGCATGATAAGCCCATCAGATATTGTTGATAATCATAAATTGGTTAGGGTGCAAGAAAATTAAGTAACCTTAATTAACAGATTGACACAGATTTCAATGATCTAATTTCCATATCTTATCATGTTTAAAATATTGTACATACATCTCTAAGAGACTTACAGTGTAGGGATTAATTAAAACAAATAATGCATCATATAATTCTAAACTGGCTGTGTTAGAGCTTAACAAATATCCATCTGCAGCTTTAAATTGTTTATTGCAATATTATGAAATAATGGAAATGCTACAGTCTAATAAAAAAAATTCAAAAATTAATTATTCTTTAGACTATAAAATTCAAGTGAGACATGACTGCAATTTGTTGCAAATATATGAAAATTGAAATGTAATTTTTTTTTCAATGAACACATATATATAATTAATTTTAATTATATCATACAATACTAATTCAGTTTTAATCATACACTAAAACATCAATTTGTTTTTATTACATTACACCAATTGAAAAATCTTTATCTGAACTACAGCCATCAAGAACTCTTAATTAACACAAGCAACTATAAGGCCATTTCTTTTTACCCAACTCCCAAGAGGTAAATTAAGATTAGATCTAGAGATGCTCTTGCCAGTTAACTCCCGACAATGAACTCATTAATTTCTCTCTAATTTGACATGCACATTTCTGCTATCAAAAATTCTCCTTGACCAGTGCTTGATAATTATGCCCATGGGACAAACTGAATTCCTCTCAAATCATTAACATTTGTTAAAGAATTTGCTGTAAAGTATATGATAAAAAATAAGTTTTTACTTAATTTAGCATTTTTTAATAAGGATACAAATATATTTTTTACATTTTTAAGGATTATGAAATTTAAAATTTTAAAGACTTAGTTTTTTTTAAAAAATCACTTAAATTAAAGGTCACAGTGACCTTGAAATAGGTCGTGACACACCGTCTACCCAAGATGCATAAATTGTCAAAGTT